AGTTCACACAAACACTTGACAGCAGTAGAGGAACAGCTGACATGCATTTGCATTTTCAGTTATGAGTCTTGATGAATGACATTTGACAACATCTAATTTTCTCTCTCTCACTCAGACGTGCAGCAGACAAAGCGTCACCCAAACGTCCACCAGCCCTCCTTCATCACCATGAGCACGCACACTGTATTAACTTTGACTCCACATACACTGTCTTGCTGCTACAAATACTCATATATATGAGTATTATACTCACGACAGCACCACATGTGGATTAATCTGCCGCTGAAAATAGTCCCCAACAAATGCTGTACTTCCTCCTGTTTGATAAAAACTACAGTGAGCAGCTATTTTAGGGAATTACTGGTGATGTGTTTGTGATTTTAAAAATGTTCATCTTCAAAAGGAACCAATGGGCTTGGAGAGCAACAGACAGGAAGTGGGAAAATATTGAGAGATACACAAACATGTCTGCAAGGTTTGTCTTTGGGTCTAAAGCCTGGTGCACATTGTGCGATTTTGGGCTGTCCCAGATGAAAGATCACCATCGTCAAGGAAACGTGGCGTAATCTTTGGTTGTCGCTCTAAAACAGTGATCCTACGTTGCACAGTGAGAGAGGTTCAGTTCAAGGATGGTTGTTGTCACAGTCTGCTATGTGCAGTTTCACATAGATTGACCACGTCAGTGAGTAGAAAAACGTGGGACAGACAGAATGACTGACTGACAGAATGACACATGACAAAAATCCATATGGCGGTTAGGCCTAGATAAGAAATGAGCTCTCTAGCGCCCCCATTTTGTTTGATGGGGTCAATAATGGAGGGGTCCCCTCAGATTATGTGTGGTCATATGCCTACAAAGTTGCGTGGTGATGGGTGAAACCCTTGAGATGTTATACACCTTTATGTGATGAGCCACGCCCTCCGCAATATTCATTGCCTTATAGAAGCTCAGTTTTAGTAAGTTTTCCAACTTTTGCCAAGAGGGAACTTTAGATATTGGTCCCAAGATTATGTTCAACCAGTTTCATACAGATCGCTCAAACTTCCTAGGAAGAGATCCATTTGAAGTGTTTTTCAAAAAATTCAAAATGGTGGAAAATCTATATAAGCGGAAGTTATGGGTTCTTGAGGCAAATGTGTTCCTCATGAGGAGAGGCATCTCTGTGCAAAGTTTCATGTCTCTACCACATACGGGGCATGAGATATGCCCATTCAAAGTTTGACATTTCAATGGGTTGCTATAGCGCCCCCCTTTGGCCAATTGATGTAATATTGCTTCATTGGCATCCTCCCATGACCCTCTACCATCTGTTACTTCAGGACTCTCTGTCCTAAGGTCCTGACGACAAACAGCCATAAAACATGGATCTACAGGAAGATCATTTAACAGAAGCATCAGTTAGCTTTAGCATGTTTACAATGCATACATTAGCCTAGCAGTTAGTGGACTTTATTTCCCTCTACTCATAGTTTAACAAACTACATGTAACATTATTATTGTTGTTGTTCTTCCTCAGCGTTGGTTCAGTCTCTGCGTCTCCGGACAGATCAGCTCAGTTGAATTTCAGCCTGCGCCAACTTTTTTTTAGCCGAACGTTGTTGAAACAGCAGCACATGTTTCTGTAGTGAGAAGTTAGCGGAGTGAGACGCTCGTGCAGGCGGGTAACGCTACGTAGTCTTCATCATCTTTCTCTTCTCTGCTGCTGTTTCACTGTGACACAGACTTTCAAAATAAAAGCGTATCCTAAAGATGATGATGTGGATCAGTGTTTACACTTTGCATCGATGATCCTGGATTGTTGATCATTTAATTGATATATTGATCCAGGTTGATGGATTGTTTCACCCCTACTAACCAACCAATAGAAATGCAGCATGAAATGACGCACTGGTCAGTGCGACAGTGCTAAATGCTAGTAGATGCTAATAAATGCTAATAAACGCACTACGAGCTCTCGTTGGGAGATCTTGACTAAAACACCGCCCTGGATAGAGACGTGTCTCTGGCTTGGCTGATTGTTCAGGACGATGAAGAGCGTGTTGACAGGAGAGAGAAGGATTTGCAGGTGGTGTTCCTCAAGTTCATGAGAGTTTGGTTTTCCTCAGTTTAGCTACGTTAGCTGTTTGTTTCTTTGCATCTTTGCGGTGTGATGTGCTGGAATGGTAGGAACCAAATCACCTTTTCTTTTTACACACAACTAGATTCATTCTTTTTGCCTAAAATATACAGAAATCATCTGCTACACGTCTAATTTATTTAGCAGAAGCCTCATTAGAGACCTGCCATGGCGATCCTGGGCAGAACAGACGTCATCAACGAATGAAGCCATCGCTGACATGTTAATGACTCCCTAATTAAGAGCCACTGACTCATGGATAGATCTGGGAAGGCTTTCATTGCTCATCTCAACGCCTGTGGTCAGAGGTGTCACTTATTCAACAGGCAGCACAGTTTGCTCCTCCGAGCAGCCCGAGAGCCTCTCTCCTCACTGAATATGTATTTGAGGGTGGATCACGGAAAATAATATGAGGAGACATAAATGAGAGTGGCAGAGCATTTTGTGCAATTCAGGCACACAGTGAGGGCCCGTCATGCATGAAAATATATCTGACTCTGAAGAGAGGCTTCACACATCAAAAATACAGTGTGTCAAAGAGGAAGGTTGGAGTTGGTTAGTGAACTAAAATGAATGCATCTTAAAAATAACTGAAGATTGATTCAGAGAAGACGACACAAAGACACTGCGTGAGGAAAATATTTGGTTTTTCTGCATGTTTCAGGTTATGGAAGACCTTTTTGTCTTTGGTGGAGTTATACAGCCCAGTCACCGGGAGAACACTGTACATCTAATGCAAATCATTTGCACATTTCATACAGGTCATATCAGTGTTTCTTGAGTGACGTAGTGTATGAGCCGACTTTTTCATCAGGAGATGGAGGAGGTGGAGGACGAGGCGTGACAGCCCCAGAGACGCCTGTCAAGCAGCAGACCGCTGCTCAAGACCAACAAAAAAACAAACCCAGTTGTTGTTTTAGGCTCCAAACATGGGTGTTGTTTAGTGATCCATCACTGTGTTTCTAGCAGCTCTTCAGCCCCTCAACAAGGGTGTTTATTGGCAACCAGTTGCTGTGTTTCCAGCAGCTTTTCAGCCCCTAAACAAAGGTGATTTTTAGCAACTCATTGCTGTGTTTCCAGCAGCTTTTCAGCCCTCAGACATGGGTGTTTTTTACAGGACCCATCACTGTGTTTCCAGCGGCATTTGGCTCCCAAGCGTGTGTGTTTTTAAGCAACCTGTCACTGGGTTTTCAGCAGCTTTTGTAGCCCTCAGACATGGGTGTATTTTAAGGGGCCTGTCACTGTGTTTCCAGTGACTTTTCGGCCCCCAGATGTGGGTAATTCTGAGAGAGTTGTCACTGTTTTTCCTGTGGATTTCTACTCCCAAAAGTGGGTGTCTTTAGCAACCTGTCACTGTGTTTCTAGCAACTCTTCAGCGCCGTAACAAGGGTGTATTTTAGTGAGAAGTTGCCAGCAACTTTTCAGCCCTGAGACATGGATATTTTTTAAGGGGCTTATCAACTGTATTTCCAGCAACATTTTAGCCATTAAACAATGGTGATTTTTAGCAACTTATTGCTGTGTTTCCAACAGCTTTTCAGCCCTCAGACATGGGTGTGTCTTAGAACACATAGCTGTGTTTTTCAGCAGCTTTTTGGCCCCCAAGCGTGAGTGTTTTTATAGCAAACAGTCACTACGTTCCTGTGGCTTTTTATCTCCCAAAAGAAGTGTTTCTTAGCAACTTGTCACTGTGGTTCCAGCAACTTTTCAGCCCTGAGACATGGATATTTTTTAAGGGGCCCATCAACTGTATTTCCAGCAACTTTACAGCCCCTAAACAAGGGTGATATTTTTCTTTTTAGCAACCTGTCACTGTTTTCCTGCTGCATTTTTAGTCCTCAGATATAGTTTTTTTTCTTAAGCAGCCCATCGCTGTATTTCCAGCGGCTTCTCAACCCCCACATGTGGGTGTTTTCTGGGACCAAAGGATGTGGTGAGGCTGCAGACCACTGTTCCAGACCAACAACAAAACCTGTTGTCCTTTAGAGAGTCATTGTCTTACCAGCAATTTTTTAGGCATGTTGTTGTTTTTTTGAGACATGGCTGCTTTTCCTGCCGGGACAGTGCCACCAAAAAGGGATATTGAATCTCAAACACAATCTTTTCCTAACTGCAACCAAGTGTTTTTTGCACCTAAACCTGAACACACATTACCCACAGCGTTGTTGAAACTGATGAAATATTAACATGTCCACTACATGATAAGCTACATTGTAATGTATCAGTGGTTTGCACAAACATGTAATGCCAGCCTTGTGTTTCACCAGTGATGTGGTTGGTTTAAGAGTGGTTTCCAGTGAATATGATTTAGATGTAATAACTTTTCGTGTTTAAGAAAAGCCACATTAGTCAGCCTGGTGGAGCTGTTAATCTTAAAAGGTCAAAATTTAAAACTACGAAAAGGCAACTCGCTGATAATGACTCCCGCTTTGTGGTGAATAACGAGCAACATGGCCTTATTAGATGCTGAGACTGAATTAAAACTGCCATGGAAAACATCCTAATAATAGTTTCATTAATGTTTGTTAATCACACCTCTGCTGGTCCGCACAGACACCAGATGGCATTTCGCTGCCCTCTCCGAGCAAAGTCATCACAGTCATTAGTCTCCATCGAGTTTGAATTACTTATTAAAGCTTTAATTAACACCCACTTACACTGCAACGCAGATCCTTGAAAGACAGTGAGTGTTTGATCGCTGAATGTAATCTTCTATTCATGTGGAGAAATCTCTTTCCAATCTGCCGTCGTTCAAAGAGCTCAGTGCAGGTAAAAGCAGCTGAAACTAAATACTGAGGAAAGTGAAAAGAGAGCAGCAGGAGCTCAAATGGTTCATAAAGTACATGTAATGGAGTTCTCTCTCCTGCACTCTCTTCCTGTCAGATTCGGGGGGAAGCTGACCGACAGCAGCAGATCATGTGTGAGATGTTGAAATGAGTCTGAGTGGATAATAAACTTAAGACTGAAGTTCAACATCATGACTCAAACTGAGTCACGATGTTTCCAGCCTACGGGAACAAGTTTGTTGCAAATGTGAACACGCTGAGCTTCAGACTGCACCTCCACCTGGATGAATCATCCTGATGCAGCAAGCGAACAACCTTCCAAGTAAGTGGGGCTTCAAAAGATCAAAAGATATCCGGGTTAAGACAAGGCTAAATTAAATCAATTGATGTTACATATGACTGTTGTTAAAAAGTATCTCAGCGACTGTATTTCAGTGCAAAGCAATACTGATGGTGGGGCTGCGCTGGTGTAGACATTTTCAGACCGGTTTGATATTGAGTCAAACACTGGACTGGACCAGAATACCAAACTTTACCACTAGGTGTCGCACTTGAGTGAAAGATAATGGAGAGCTCCAGGGGTGACGTTCTTCTGTAGGCTGATACAGAAGTTGGCGTCGCCCTGGTTCCTTCGTCAAAAAGCCTACGTTTTTTTCCCATTGGACTTCAGATTATTGCAGAAAATAAACTCTGTGACAAACAAATGTTTCTGATGTTGGGCTATAAACAAACTACACTACGGTCACATGACCTAACATCACCACCATAACAAGACTGTGAAGCCATGTTTGGCACGATGATGTTCTCTAGTCTCATTTAGCCACTTGTTAGCTAGTTATGTCCTGTTGTTGTATATAATATACGCGCCAGAAAAACTGAACATCTGAATCCTTAAAGGTCTTTTAGTGCAACCAAACGCTGAGCAAGACTTTGTAGACGACCAAAATGTCACAATTAACTTTCATGAACTGTAAATACAGCAACTGTGAATCTGGGGTTAAACCATGGCTACATTGCCAGACCAAAGTTGCCATGGTAGCAATTTTTCAATTGATGGCACACACCTGTCACTCACAGTGACCACACCCTTAATTATGCATAACTGTGGCTATATAACAGGGGTGTCCAAGCTTTATTGAATGGGGGGCCAGATAAAACAATGTGAAAATACCTGGGGGCCAACAGATTCTCCCATCAAATTGTTTTTTAAAGAACAAAAAGTGAGACGAATGCAACCATTTTTATCTTTTAATGAACTATTACCTGCCTGTCTACAAAGTGTATGATAGTCCTGTCATTGTGAGGTAAAGGGTAAAAATGCAACGTGATCTTGTTCGATCAACCATTATTGTGTAAAGGGCCACATGTGGTATATTTTGAAAGTCAAGCCGAGGGCCGATTGAAATTGGTCTGCGGGACACAATTGGCCCCTGGGCCAGACTTTGGATATGCCTGCTATATAAGAATACAACCCTGTTTGTGTGTGGTCCGTCAGTCCCATCCTTGTGTACTCATGGGATATTTTATCCTCCAGATTTGACACAAATATCCACTTGGATTCATCAATGAAATTACTAGGTTTTGGTCAAGGTCACTGTGACCTTGTCTGTCTCATGAACATGATATCTCAAGAACACCTTGAGAGAATTCCCTTAAATTTAGCACAAACGTTTACTTGGATTTGAGGATTAACTCATTCGATTTGGTGGCAAAGGGTCAAAGGTCAAGGTCACTGTGACCTTCAATCTGTCTCATTCTCGTGAACACAATATCTCAAGAACATCTCAGGGGAATTTCTTAAAATTTGGCAGAAACGTCCACTCGGACTGAAGAATAAACTGATTACGTTTTGTGGTCAAAGGTCACTGTGACCTCGCAAAACATGTTTTTGGCAAAACTTGACACAAATGTCAAACAGGATGAAATAATGAAGGTCAAAAGGTCAAAGGTCAGCTTGACTGTGACATCATCATGTTTTAACATCGTATCTCAGGAACAGAAGGGGAGACATTTGGTCAGATACTGAATTGGTGACTCTAATCTTGAAACTGTGCTGATTGTATAGATCTTCTGTGTGTGAAGCATCCATGTTTTCACTGACATGGATGGAGACTGTCAGAGACACTGGACTGGTGGGCGGAGTCATACAACCACAGGGTGGACTGGTGGGCGGAGTCATACAACCACAGGGTGGACTGGTGGGCGGAGTTATACAACCACAGGGTGGACTCGTGGGCGGAGTCATACAACCACAGGGTGGACTGGTGGGCGGAGTCATACAACCACAGGGTGGTAATTCTAGTTTGTACCAGGCTGTTAATATTTTTATTTTTGATGTAAAGTTTGGCATTTGAACCTGGGGGTCTGTTGGGATTGACTCGCACTTGGAGCCAGCCTCAAGTGGCCACTAGAGGAACTGCAACTTTTGGCAGTTCTGCTTTGGCTTTGTTTTTCTGCCCTGGAGGTTGCTGCTGGCTCCACACTCTAGACAACTCAAGAGAAGAATTTTTACCACTGATGTTCCCACGACTGTCCCTGATGTAGCATGCCGTTATCAAAACCTACTTAAAACATGTTCCTCAACGTCTTAAAATTCAAATTGGATTCTTACACTCCAAGAGAGCTGAATTCTGCCCTCCAAAACATTTCGTCTGTCTAAAGTGTCGAGATATTTATCATCTGTTGTTGAGTTAAAAGTGAATGACCATGACATGAGAAGATCACAGGATAGTGATTTCCTCCAGTCCTTCTTTGATGACATGACAACAGTCTGAATCCTCTGGATTTTTGTTTAAGAAATGCAGCATTGAAAAGCCAGCAGGAATGTCTGTTTTGAAGTAGAGAAAAGATGAGGCAATAAAAGAACAACAGAGTGCAACTGTGTTGATAAATTGACACCTCCGCAGACTGTATCCTGAGCCTGTTAGTATTCAGTCATGCCGTTCAGGTAATGATATTTTTCTATCGGAAATTGATGTGCAGCGTTCCGAATATGAGGTCTTCATTTCTTCCTTTCATTCATTTGGGGGGCAGGGTGTCATTTCCTAAACAACACAGACATCTGTGATAGTTAATGACAGCAGGTGTGCATGTCTCATCAGTATGCAGGAGGTGCTCTCATGCTCACAGCCCAGATAAAGGAGTGGATGCTGTACTGGACACAGACTAAAGCTGCCGTTACACAACACAGTATCATCTATATGATGATCAGACGCCCTCTCTCTGCTTGATTGCTGTGATGAACGTGAAGTATGAATGTGTTTATCTTGACGTGAAGCTTGATCTTCCTCACGTACAGCATTTACATACAAATACAGCCAACTGACCTTTGCTAAGCCCCGCCCCTTTGTGATGGTCCAACAAGCTGTCGCAGTAAGCATGGAGAAAAATGAAAGAGCGATGTCAGAGAGAAGCAGACAGAGGGGTCTACAGTCTGTGTTTGAAGGATATATCCAGGATGTCAAACTGACTCAGCAGCAACAACAGGTTAAAAAGCTAAAGCCGAACTATAGGCTACAGATCACAGTGTAAAAGTGAACCACCACATCACTGCTGATCGACACACAACACAATGAATATAAAGGGAAACTTTGCTCATATTGAACCAGCTGTGTGGCATCACAGTGTGTGCAGATGAACAGTGTTTGGCTTCACCCCCGTGCCGCTGCCAGCACCTGGACCTCCACCGCAGGACGGGCAGGGAGAAGTCGAACAACCTTCATCTGCACACACTGCGATGACAGACAGCTGGTTGAATATCAGCAAAGTTTCCCTGCTTCACCTCACTGGTTCCTGTACAGCAGGATCGGCCCTTCTTTTTTTTCCTGCTGCAGCCATCGAGGGACAATATGCAGCCGTCGAGGGACAAGATGCAGTCGTCGAGGGACAAGATGCAGCCGTCGAGGGACAAGATGCAGCCGTTGAGGGACAAGATGCAACCGTTGAGGGACAAGATGCAGCCGTCCAGGGACAAGATGCAGCCGTCCAGGGACAAGATGCAGCCGTCCAGGGACAAGATGCAGCCGTCCAGGGACAAGATGCAACTGTTGAGGGACAAGATGCAACTGTGGAGGGACAAGATGCAACTGTCGAGGGACAAGATGCAACCGTTGAGGGACAATATGCAGCTGTGGAGGGACAAGATGCAACCGTTGAGGGACAAGATGCAGCCGTCGAGGGACAAGATGCAACCGTCGGGGGACAAGATGCAACTGTCGAGGGACAAGATGCAACTGTCGAGGGACAAAATGCAGCTGTGGAGGGACAAGATGCAGCCGTCGAGGGACAAGATGCAACCGATGAGGGACAAGATGCAGCTGCTGAACAAGATGCAGCTGTGGAGGGACAAGATGCAGCTGTGGAAGGACAAGATGCAGCCGTCGAGGGACAAGATGCAACCGTTGAGGGACAAGATGCAACCGTTGAGGGACAAGATGCAGTCGTCCAGGGACAAGATGCAGCCATCGAGGGACAAGATGCAGCCGTCGAGGGACAAGATGCAACCGTCGAGGGACAAGATGCAACCGTCGAGGGACAAGATGCAGCTGTGGAGGGACAAGATGCAACTGTCGAGGGACAAGATGCAACTGTCGAGGGACAAAATGCAGCTGTGGAGGGACAAGATGCAACCGTTGAGGGACAAGATGCAGCTGCTGAACAAGATGCAGCTGTGGAGGGACAAGATGCAGCTGTGGAGGGACAAGATGCAACCGTCAAGGGACAAGATGCAGCTGTGGAGGGACAAGATGCAGCTGTGGAGGGACAAGATGCAACCGTCAAGGGACAAGATGCAGCTGTGGAGAGACAAGATGCAGCTGTGGAGAGACAAGATGTAGCTGTGAAGGGACAAGATGCTGCGCACACACGTGAGCGCGGTGCCCAGAGAGGCAGTCAGAGCTACAGGCTACAATGAGGCTAAAAACAGAGTTCAAATGACTTTTTTCCAAACAGCTTTTTATGTCGGGGCTTCAGGACACTTGGATCACTACGGACGAGCAGTATGGAGATATTTTGTGGTTTCAATTATGTGTTTTTGGACGTTTGAATCTGGGGCGCCGTCAGCCTCCATTAGGTGGAGTTGTGTTGCTACCTCCTCTCCCCTTGGATCTCTGCAAGTGATGTGAGGACTCTAAAACTTCACCAGAGCCTCCATCGGCATATGGGTGAGTAGATAATGGCTGAATTTACATTTTTGGGTGCACTATCCCTTTAAGTTGGAGGGAGGTCTGTTCGTATACGCCGTGGCTTTTTGACCTCTCCTGACACATTTCTTATCTTTTCTTTCTTACAATTTGGATTTTATGCAGTTTAATGTTTCTGCGA